CAGGATATTAATATCTCCTGATAGGTAAAACTATCCTTAAATAGAAATAATCATTACAAACAATAATTACTCTGCTACCAGCAACTTGTAAAATACCAGAACTAAAGAATAACTGATTGCTTAGATTGGTTACCATGACAATAGACCGACACACGGTGCCACAAATAATTTGCCAATCTAAAAGATGAGCTCAATCCTGACCCAATAACCACATAGCCAAACTAGTAGTAGGTTCCATTTTTGACATAGCAAACTTGCATATAGGTCTACCATGTTAATAATAATTCATTAAAAAATAAAAACAATAATTAAATTTAAATTTATTACCACATAGACATCAGAAGAAGTCGAAAGCAAGTTTAAGAATTGACGAGCAAGAAGTAAAGCACATGTTTAACCTTTCACTTACATTAGTGGTGCGTGATTTGTTGTTTTTTTGGATGAGGGCCAACTTCACACTGCCTCTAGACTTTAGGCTTGAATCTTGCTGCTGTTGTATTTAGTAAAAGATTGGATTGAATTGAATTTATTTGATTTCTCTCTATATACAATATATAAAATACATAGAAAAAACAAGTCATTTTAAAACCAAATAAAAACACAAAATATACAAATACAAAAAGAGAAAAGTCAGGATAACCCATTAAACTATAAAGTTTGTTTCCGATGGGGTCCACAACAAACATAAAGACAGGAAGAAAAATATCAAAAATCAGCATTAAATATTTTCATAAAAGCATTTAAAATGGAACAATCAATAAAAATTCAAAAAAATTTAAAAGGCAAGTACGAATCAAAGAAAACAGGAATCGATGGCAAAATTAACAGTGGCAACAGTTTAGGCCTATATCAAAACGTCAAAAATAAAAATTTGGTAATAAAAGCTTTAAAAGTTATACATTTTATAAAATAGTCATCGTCTCCATAAGAAATCGCTTAACTTTAATTTTAAAATAACTTTTAGAAGTGATTGATTTTATTTCATTTGGCAGCTTATTCCAGTGTTTTATTGAATTATAATAAAATGTCTTAGAAACATCACCATTATTTTTATTAACAATAAACTTTTTTTGCCTCCTTCTTGTGTTGTAAACATGATTAACTAGAGGAAAATTTTCTTTTAAATAATTTGGGCATAGATCATTAAAAATGTTAAAAGTGTGATTAAGTTGGAGCGATTCAAAATCTGATTTTATAATATGATAATAGGGATCCTTGTTTAAAATAAATCTAATAACCTTATTTTGCGCTCTTTGGAGTTTAGTACAATTTAAACTCGTTAAACCATTATACCAAGAAGAAATGCAATATTCAGTAATGCTAAAAACTAATGATGAACAGATAATTTTTTTTAGTGTTTTTGTCAAGAGTTTTTGCTTGACGATACATAAACTTTAAAATTGCATTAACTTTTTTAAGAAGGTTTTTGACCAATACTTTGTTGTTTACAGTTTAAATAACAGTCAATTTCAACTCCCAGATATGTGACAGATTGCTTAGCATGTATATCTTGACCTAAACATGAAATTCCAAGATCTTTAACATTTTTTTTCGAACCGAAAATAATTAATTCAGTCTTTCCCATATGTAGGGAAAGATTGTTATCAACAAGCCATTCGTTGCAATTTTTAATGTTTCTGGTTAAGACAGTTTTCACCTGCTTGAGATCATAGCCTGAATAATAAAAACACTGCTCTTTCTAATATCTTTGAAATTACTGAAAGAATACTGATAGGTCTGTAATTTTCTGCTTCTAATTTACTCCCCTTTTTGTAAAGTGGTTTGACCCGAGTGGTTTTCATCTCGTCCGGAACAATTTCTAATTTTATAGAAAGATTTACTATGTGTAAGTGGCCCTTTTATAACTTCAACAGCATCCTTTAAAAATCTAATGGGTAAATTTCAAGTCCAGTACTCTTACTTATATTAAAAATCTGAAGCAATGTAAAATTAATTTAAAATGAATTTCTGTAAAATTCCTTAAAATGTTGTGAACCAACATGAAATACATTTTTTCTCTGAGGTAATTGACTAACTAACCTTGATGTATTATTTGTAAAGTATTCATTAAAAGCATTTGCAACAGTAATATTATCATGACACAAATTCCCATTAATATTTATAGCAATTTTATGTTCATTATTGTTTTTAGTTTTATACCCAAGGTTTTCAATACATTCCCAGAGTTTCTTTGGATTATTGTTATTTTTTAAAATTTTTTCTTTAATATAATTTTGTTTTGCACTCTTACAGTCATTGTTAACTTTTGAAGTTCACAGAAACTGTTTCGATAATCAGTGTTGTTTTTATACTTCCTTTGATTTATTTAACATCTTGTTCTTCAAAAGCCAACAATAATCCACGGTTGACTTTTTGGTTTCACGCGGGCGTCTTTTGGCGGAGCTACATAGTCAATAGCGGCTTTAAAATTTTTAGCAAAATTTGACCATGATTCATTTACGTCATTGGTTTGGTATACTGACGACCAATCACATTGGCGTAAAGTGAATTCAAAAAGTTCTTTATTGTAACTTTTGAGGGTTCTGACTCTGATTTGCTTGTGTTCATTTGCAGTATGATGAGATCTTTTTTTTTCGTACAGAAAACCATTGAGTGGTCACTCATTCCACATGTGATTACTCCATATTGACATAGTATGTCTGCTGAGGTACTAAAAATATGATCAAGTGAGGTAGATGTATTTTCCGTGACCCTTGTTGGTTTGTGAATGATTTGTTTGTAGCCATTTCCATGAAGCATTTTTTCATAATTGCGATAAGATGGATCTCTTCGAAGACTGCACATATTTGTGTCTCCTAAAACATAAATTTCAGATGATAAGGTCATTTATTTAGCACCTTTTCCAACTTGTTGGTAAAATTTCCACAGGCATGTGATGGGGGACGATAACAGACACCAATAATTAAAGGTTTGTTTCTAGGTAAAGCAATTTCAATCCACAATGCTTCAAAGTCGTTGTGTAGTAGGTCTTGTCTATGTGTGTAGACAAGATTGGACATCACGTATAGGCAGACTCCTCCACCCTTTCTGTTCTTGTCTTGTCTAACAACAGAATATCCAGGAATATTAATCTCATTATCAGTTATTGACAAATCAAACCATGTTTCACTGACCGCGATCACAGCTGCGTGTGTTTTTCTTGCGATGTTTAGTAATTTTATTAACTAATGATCGCGCATTTATGTGAAAAACCCTTGCTTTGAAATACTTAGTAGTCTCTACCATTAGCAATTTGTTTGTTCAATTTACATTGCGATAATTTATAATTGTCTTCAATATGTTTTTCATCACAATAAAATGGAAGTGCGTGTAGAGTAGAAGGCATCTTTGGCATGTCCATAATGGGTTGGCGATTGTTTTATAGGTTACAAAATCCTCTTTTGCAATATTCACAAGTATATCCCTTAAAATTTCTCTCTGAGGTGACAGTTTCGTTTGATGTGGCCAAGTTTTCATTTCAACTTCCATTTATGTAATGACTGTATAGACATTACCATCTAAATTAAATCAGTTCAATAATTTTCCCTGCTCCAGCAATGGACTTCAGTTTTTTGTTTACTTGGAGACTGGTACAGGACTATTCCCTATCTTAGCAATCAACTTCAGTTTCTTATTTACATGCCGACTGTTACTAGACCATTCTTTATCCCAGCAATGAACTCGGTTTCTTGTTTACTTGCAGACCATTACAAGACCATTCTTTATTCCAGTAATAAATGCCAGTTTCTTGTTTACTTGTAGACCATTACAAGACCATTCTTTATTGCAGTATCAACTCCAGTTTCTTGTTTACTTGCAGACCATTACAAGACCATTCTTTATTCCAGTAATCAACTCCAGTTTCTTGTATTTACTTGCAGACCGGTACAAGACCATCCCCTATCCTAGCAATCAACTCCAGTTTCTTGGTCTTCAACTTGACCTGTTGGATGACTTTCGTGTACGATTACTTCAAGTTGCTAAACAGGAGGCCCGCAATCCACTCAGCACTGTCTACTGTGCAATAATCAACTCGGTGAATTATGTTATAAGAGTACTGGAAGAATGGTCAGATCAATTGGTAACTTTAAAATCCACTGATTATGAATCAATTATGTAAATTAGCAGATGTGATTACTAAATTAGTGTTAATAGTTCATAAACAAAATTATTGTATAAACATCTTGTCCATGTCTATTGTGTGCTCACTGAAAGAATAAATCTATGCAGTTCCTCATATATGCAGTTCCTCATAAATATATGTATACTTTTCTATTTTATTATTATATTTATCACTTATTAATGAATAGTGTAATCATAGTTGCGTGTGGGAAGGGTGCGGGCTTCTTGAGACTTTTCTGAGTAGCTGCCTCCACCAATTATTATTACCTCTGCCAAGGAGGGTTATGAATTACCCCCTCTGTCTGTCTGTCTGTCAGGAAGATTACACCAAAACTAAGGAGTGAATATTTTGTGAATACTTACCTGGATAAACCGATAAATGCCTAAGTTTCCTTTTGAACTTAATTCTCGAGCATAAAAAAATACTATAAGACTATATTAATAAGAAGGAGATGATTAACTTTTGGGTCATGGTCATAGAACTTATTTTTTCCCCTTGTAATAAACTTGAATTGTATACCATTAACAAATGGGTTTGTTTTTGTTTTTAGTTTTTTCTAGAGTTACAATATCATCATAATGAAGATGAGAACATGGCTGCCTTCAATGAAGCGTTAGAAAGCACTGGTGCCAATATCAACATCAATCTTTTATCAAAAGGTCTTGAAGGCGAGAATTTAGATGCCATGCAAAGAACTGTCTTTGATGATATTTTAGAATTGTACAAACACATGCAACAAGATATGTGTACAAAGGTCAACTCATGCATCTTGAACCAGCTCAACTCAAAAGCTAAACTATACTTGAAGGAAAAGTAAGCAGTTTTGTCTTATGCTTACAATAGTATTCTAAAGTTTTATGTATTTGTTTATGACATGGATACATCAGTACTGTATATTTTTGAAAATGCAATAATGCTCTAGTTTGTTTTCAAAATAATTCTTTTATTTATTTCTTATTTAACCCAGGTGAACATCTCATAATTGCGATATTAATAAGAAGCAATAAATAATGTGTTGCTTGGTGTATATACTATGTTTTCAGATGGTTTTCACTTCCTTCAACCAAAGATTTAGCGGGTCAGTCAGTAACATGTTCTGCCTGCGAGATGCTCCTTTTTATAAAGGACAACCTCTACTTCCTTCAAGAACAGTTATGTCAACCACTCTTCAAAAGAAGTTGGCGTTTGATGGCAGAAGGAGTTAATACGTTTCTATATGAAGAGGTAATATAATAAAACAAAACAAGGCCAGGATTTGTGTTTATCTTGTGAGTACTAACCTTGATAAACTGCTGACTAAGTGTGAATTCTTTTTGCGAATTAGGCTACATTAGAATCTAAAGCTGTGTGGGTGTGATGTTATGTTTATAGAAGGTCCCTTAAGTCATCATTGTTATTAGGGGACCCTCAATAAATTTAGTTTGGTTTGTCAAGATTGTAAAGGATTTATTTTTATTGCATATCATGTGATTGTCTGCAATCACTTAAATGAAACAGAGTTTGTGCACATCTTTAAATTTTCTTGAATGTCCTGGAAAAACAAATGAGCATTTTTCAGTACTGGAAATTTATGATTATCCCTGAATGTCCTTGAAATTTGATCATTTACCATTTATCCAATACTGCAACTTTCCTAGTAACAGTAAATTAAATGAGAAATGGTTCAACAAGTAGGTTCCCACGATACGCTTGGAAGAAGCAGGTCAAGTCTTCGTACACCCCCAATTCAGGAATGTTATCGAAGACAGAAAGAATGTCAAATGCTGAAAATGGCCTACTGGCTGGTTCAGACAAACTTGTGCAATTCAGTGAATGGAGTTGTTTGCCTATATTTTTTTTTTCTTGTCTTTCGTGGGTGCATCCCACCTTTATTTCAACCATCGCAGAATAATTGTTTGCACAATTTGTTATCTACACATATATATCTACACATACAAACATGCATATCATACACATATCAAATGTATGTAAAAAAGTATGGTAATCTATGTACATTTCAACTGTTAAATATATAAAGATACTGCAAATAGATAACAAAAATATGATAATGTAAATGAATGAATCAGTGTTGGGTAGAGAGGCTATAATCCCAGTGGAGGTATAGAAGCCTCCCTTTTCATCAAGACATGTTATTTTGAAATGATAATTGTAGAATAATAAAACAGATTGAAACAGAGTTAGAACAATAGTACGTAGTGATAATAAAATGGAAAACCATAAGGTTGGGGTCCACACACGGTGCAAGTCCAAGACTATCTGTTTATTTTGGCTCTGTGTGTATGTGAGATGCATCGTACCCACATTTTTCTCAAAATAATTAACATCCAAAGATAATAGAATATTTTTATTTCATTTCTTTAATTACCACCACTTTTTGTTTAATAAAAATAAACCAAATGTTCACTAAAGTATTTAAACATTATGCAAACACACCTTTGTCAAGGGTACAGTGCTTAAATGCCAATGGTATATTTTAACTTACGAAGATTGATCTTTGACCATTTTTTTTGCTTTATGATTATTTAATAAATGTTCGCCTATATTTTAGTAAGGCGGTGCTTTCTTAATTTTGTGTATTAATTATGTTTGCATGTAATTTTAATTCAAATATTGATAATCATAATCATTAACTGTTGATATCTGCTATGGTGTATATATTTGCTTTCTGTTGTGTGTTATAAACAGTAAATAAACATTTAATAATTCAATTAATTCACTTAATTAATTTATCACTCACCAGACTTGCACAGTTGTTCTGCGCGAATGGGCATGATTTGGCCCTATCCAGTACAAGGCAGTCACCGCACGCCGAACAATTACCGTAACCATGGGAACGTGTACTTCTACAGTTATTTTAATGAATGTTTCATGTTTAAAGGCCGATTACAGTTAAAATTTCTTGATTTTAGAGCGAGGTGTTTTGTTAATTACGTTTCTAAAGTTTACAAAATCATTGGAAAATGGATGGTGAGAACCCTGCCGTATGTTAAAATCTGCTGTATAGAAAATTATAAAAGTTTACATAGGCCTACATCATTATAAATGTCCAAATACAGAGTTAAAACTAACAAGTAAGGTCTAATAATAATAGAGCCCAATGTATAATAATAAATAATAATACAGTATAGAGCATAACCATTAATTAAAATAATAATAATACAGTACATCATTAGTTTATACAAGTTTAAACATATATAAACACCCAAATATATATGAAATATAATAAATTAAAGTCTCCGCGACATACGCCCATCGAAGAAGACTATATTATTTACTGTATGTCCATGTTATGTCAACTTTGCTGCAGCTGAGACAATTATCATTCGCTGAACAACCACCCTGGATAGGCGTGTACTCCATCTCGCGGTGCCACAAAAGAAAGTTATTTTGGCGTGTCAGTACCACAAAAAGCACTGACAGGTTTAAGCGATTTAAGATCATTAGTTGTACACGCACATTTGTGTTGCTGAGGAAAGAATTCTACTCTATAGTTCAACTTTAGGCGATCAGCCCTGCCTTACTTTACAGGTACTTCCCCCATACTCGTGGGAATTCCTTTGCTAACCAACAAATTTTTACACTTGTGAGAAAAACAGAATTTCCCACGAGTGTGAGAAAAAGTGACAGGTCCATCGCCTCCGAATAAGATAAAACTTAATATGCACTCAACTAACATGCATTTGAAATTGGTACAGCATACATGTTTTAAAATCGCTGATATTTTGCTGTTAAGCGATATAATATGTCCTTGAAATTTGAAAAATTTAACCTGGAATGTCCTGGAATTGTCTTGGAAATTTGCTTGTTTAAAAACAAGCAAATTGGATTGTAAGGATGCTTTTTATTGCATTTCAGGTGATTCTTTGCAATCAGTTCAATGCGGGTGGAGCTGCTCAGTTACAGTTTGATATGACGAGAAGTCTCTTTCCTTTATTTGGTGCTTATACACAACGACCTGAAAACTACTTCAAAGAGTAAGTATACAAACAACAGTTTTGCATTTCTACAATGTTCTAATGTGTGCTGTGATTACAATTGTTTTCACAAAGATTTTCTACTACTGAACTCTCACTCCACAATTGTCCCACTTCTAGTCACAAAAATCAGTGAACCAAATTGATGAAAAAAGTGGCAATAGCATACTGATGAAAGAATTTTATTATATAAAATTATGTTGATTTAGAAAAATTTATTATAAAGGCACTATACTGTACTTCATATTTATGGAATCCTCTTTCTTGCTTTTGCTTTTCTGTTTATTATTATTATACAATTGTCTAAAGGTAAGTCAAATTTTGAGCTGTTTCGGTGCATTGATGCGACTGTATAAGGTGATTTATAAATTGTTGATTGATTGATTGATCATCTTTCTTGTTTTGCTTTTCTATTATTATTACTATTACTATTATTATTACTACTGTATTATTATTTATACAATTGTCTAAAGGTAAAATTTTGAGCTGTTTCGGTGCATTGATGCAAATGTATAAGGCGCTTTATAAATTGTTTGTTTGATTGATTAATTGATGGCAGTCTAAATAAAGCAAAAGACAAGATAATACTGTTTTCTGGACAAGATTGGATACGATGATGTAATACTTTTCTGTTCGGCATAGGTTGCAAGCATACAGTAGTCATATTGTTGTATGAGGGTGCTCGTTGGATTATATTCCACTTGATGGTGAAGGGGATGTTGCTGCCAACGAGCACCCCCATACAACAATATTACTAAGCGTTGCAACCTATGGCTAACAGAAAATATTACATCATCGCATCCGACCGTAAGAAAACATTGAACAAACGATCCGAGTTGATCTCTGCCTGTCTTCACCGCAACAAATACTTGCTCAAGAACTGTTAATTTCCATGCCCACTTTCTACAATTCTCACACCCAACACTTATAATATACCTGCTCCTAACGAAACAACTTTCTCCAACCTGTAAATTGCACACCACGTATATATACCATTCCTACAGCTCATCCACTCAGACCTGACGATTGCACATCGAAAATTTATACAAGTATTGTTGTCTACCAACATTATATTCGCTCTACCACGATTTTACAGTGGCATTGAGCGCTGTTTCCCAAAAATTTAGAGAATATAAGTTTGAAAGGACACCTTTGATTGATGCACGGTAGAGATTGCATCTTTAGATCTCTGATCTTGTTCACAAATTCACGGACTAGTGCTGTCTCGTAAGAATTTCGTAGGACGCGTTAAGAATGACAAAATATTCTCTGTATCTACTGGAACCGAGCCGCATAGCTTGTATTCCACTATTTGCATTCACACCTGGGCTGTGTATATATATTGCCTTGGTTTGGTTCTGTAATCATTAGTGGTCGTGGGACTAGTCTGGGCCCTACCTAAGCTGGTTGAACGTTTCGTTTGGGTCTGTACCCTAGCTGTACTGATGAGGCAGGTATTGGGATTCCTTCCAGTGAATGCTTAGTTTATTTTGTCATTCTGATCGGATTTTCTCTACTGTTTCGTTTTAATTTTAAATTGTTTTGCATTATGTGGCTCGGTCTGCATTGCATGATGTTGGTGTGTACAAATTAAAAGAAGAGTCAGCAGAAAGACTGCTAAATTTACGTACAGATTGGCCAAAACTATGAGAAGAATCATATAAAATCAGCAGTAAGACAGTATACAGTATATACAGAATGGTCTAAAACAAGAACAGTTAGCAGAAAGATTGCTTAATTATGTACTGATTGGTCAGAACTTAAAACATGTAAGCAGAAAGACTGCTTTATGTTCATACAGATAGGCCAAGCCATTTAATTCAAGTCAATTTCATTTATTGCTACAAGTGACATTTCTGTAATTAATTCAACAATTTCCAGTGAGTACTGTCAATTCGTTATTAAATATTGATTAAGTGAAATAATATACATACATACACATACATACTTAATATCATTTGTAGAGCCCTACCATACTCGCGCGAATAAGCGTCCGGGGCCGCTTAAAATATTTTTGGTTCTTTTTGAGGGGCGCTTATTCAAACAGAGTGGAAATTGAGGGGACGCTTATGGAAATAGATGAAAATTGATGGGGTGCTTATGGGAAATTGGAAATTTCAAGGGGAACTTTTTTTTTAAATCGAAGATAAACGAATGGTTATGGTGAAGGAAAGGTAATCGTCGAGAGAGCATGGCTCATGACAAGAATGTTGGGAGTATTTACACAACAGCAGATAAAATTAGTGGTGGTGTTGGTGGTGGTGGTAAGCGTGTTGGCCATCTCTACCAATTCAGACTAGCAGGATCATTGCAGGGTTTTTGCTTAGATACGAAAGTAATGAAGTCAGTTTATTTTTGTTGACTGAAAATGGTCATACAGTACTTTAATTTTTTAGATATTAAATACTGAAGTTTTAAATTAAAAAAAGGGTAGCAATAAAACAAGAATGGGATTCTAAAGATGCATCAAAACTGAAAACCATGTTAAACTTAATGGAGACTGATAGACCGACAGATGGACCGACCGACAATGCTAAAATAGATGCGAAATAGTTGATGCACAAAAATTAAGTTGGTGATGTACTGTACTGTATGATTGAATTTTTTAGGAATCGAGGGGCGCTTATTCAAAATTGAGGGAGGCACTTATTCAAACAGGGCGCTTAAGACAATTTTCACGTTTATTCAAGAAGTGCGCTTATTCGCGCGAGTACGGTATTTCAGATCAGATCAGATCAGAGCGCTTAAAGCGTGGACTACAGTAGCTCGTACAGTAACTTTCTTCTCGCCGAGGGTCTTATCGTGTCTGAGCTGGCAGGTAAACTGATACCAGCTACACTCATCTGTCCACAACAGAGGCTATATGGACCAGTACAACGGGGTAACCCCCTACTCGTCTCGAAAGATTTACTGGGTTCTTTAGAGTGCACATGAGTCAATTCTGTACACTGGACCGATGGTATATAGTCCGAGAAGACTTGGTCTACCTCCGGAAATATAGGCAAGCATGCCATTCAAAACAGTGCCGATATCATGACTATAGGTTGCGCCACGCCTGCCTTAACGGCTCGGCCATTATATCTTTCAATCAGGCCAATGCTACATGATTTAGAATTAAAGAAAAAACAATCAATGATTTTTTTTTTTAAATTGTTCAGTGTTGTATTTGTAATTCAAGCTGTCTGGATAAAGACAAATGGCACAGACATGAGGTATCATGCTTCCAAGCATAAGGGAGAGGGTTGAAATCTGAGTCTGGTCACTCGTTTGTATCCAACAGGTTATTAAAAATATCAATATAAGTACATATTCTGTACAACAATCAAATGTAAATAAACAAAAGCATACCAGCATACTTGTGTGTACTGTAAATGTCACGCAATTCAGCTATGTACCATTGCAGCCATATTGATATATGAATAAAATGAAATGAACTTTAATGTTAGTGTACTTTTCTATTTAATATAAATCATACATTGAAATATAAATCATATTTTCTTTTTTTTTTAAATAATCATTTCTGAACAATAATTCATAGTAGAGGTACATTACATACAATAAGCAGATAAGTTTTATAATTCAGTAAGAGCTTTTTCATACCATAAAACTATTTCCCCATCTTGCTATCTTTTTGGCCTAACAAGACGTTTAGAAATATTGATTTTGATGCATTTACAAAATATTATGAACAGCCCTGGTCATGGCATGGCAAAAATCATGTGCATGCAGTGATAGAAGAAAAAGGAAATTGACCAGGAAGGCGCCACCAGGGAGCAGGGGTTTGATTAAGCCCAATCGGACATGGCAGCCTGAGGCTTCCGTAACCTCGCCTCGATAGACCAAAAAGAAAGAGAATAATTTTTTCCTTTTGATTTTTTGGGCAAAATTGTCAAGGCTACTTAAAAATTGATTGATTAATTGATTGATTGAATTCATTCGTAATGAGAGTCATAAAATACATGCAAACTATAGACAAAAGACAGACAAGATAAAAATTGCACAAAAACATGACCCTAATGAAAGGAAAAGCCCAAAATAGAAAAACTTATTTCCGTTGGGATTCGATCATCATATTTTTGGTATCCGAATCGGGATTTTCTCGTATGGACGCACGGAAGCTAACGGTTAGCAGGATCTGGATCCTGCTAACCGAATCGAATGATCGAATCACTGGCCAATAAGAAACTGGAAATTATAAACGCGTGCGTGTGATTGGTTGATGATAGAAACGCGCTCAACTTCCTAACCGTTTGCACTTGCTAACCGTTAGCGGTATCTGGATACCGCTAACGGTTAGCGCTAACCGATCGGGCGTTCTCACACAGATGCTAACGGTTAGTTCCCGATCCGGATACTAGGGCTCTCGTGAGAACCAGTCTTTTATCTTTAGAATTCGAATATTGCGCGTGTTCACGCGCACTTGATCAATAAATGCGAATTACATAGAAATTATAATTGGAATGTTAAAGGATCTATTCTATGACTGAAAGAACCTGCCTTTGTCAAAAAAGTTATGTTTTGCTCTTTACGTTAGACCACACAATATCGGTTTAGCGCCTATTTATTGCAGCCAACTGACTTATAATATTTTAATATTTATAAATAATAATAATCAAATTAATAATATAATACTTGTGGGCTCGCTCAAATTCAATTTCTAAGAATAACAATCCAGATACAGTACTCTACTTACGGATCATTGAAATCGGTAAAGCCGGCCAAGGCTAAAAGTAATGACACTGGCTGTTCAATAATTGGTCTGCCTGCACTGATTCTGATAAAGTAATAATAATATGAGTGATCTTTGGCAAAGAAACCTTTAGTATGATCATTTTTTACTTGATTATGATCTCACTTGTTGTTTCTCTTTGCAAAATTCTAGGAAAAATATTAAAGGAAAAATATTTTGTTGTTATATTATCGTTTTTCCCACAGAAATTAAATACCGGTACATGAACAACATAGATGTATACGTAAAATAATATAGAAGATTAACTAATGTTGAAGACATTCTGATAGACATATTTATTTAATTTTTGCTGGTCGTCATATATCATTTATTTCGCCAAAATAACAGGAACCAATTGAGGGTCTATATGGCAGGACTAATTGAAGAATGCTTGCCATCGAGGGGCTCTTTGACTATCGACAAGAATTAAAGAACTGCTTAAAAATAGTAAATTATTACAGTATATATAATAAGAAATTGAATATAAAGTAGTGAAATCATATTTTTTTTTAAATAAATATAGTTACACGAAATTCAACTGCTAAAAATGTTAAATTAAATACTATACGAGGCCGCTAATTGTATTATACAATATTATACGCAGGAACACACATTGCGTTGGACAAAGAACGCATACCGGTATCGCGTTGGACAAAAAATGGCTTCTAAATTCCCAATGTCGCAACTCTTTCCATCAAAGAGTATGTAACAGAATAGAGTCCACTGCTATAATTCTCAATGCACGTGAGTCAGCGTGACTCCCGATCCGCTGTATGGGGGGAAACCCCCCTAGCGTCTGTTGTGGATGCATGAGTTGCGCCGAGTCAGGGCAGAATATATATACAGTAATTTAAGACATGTGTTCGGAAAAGAGTGCATAAAGTCAAATTATTATATCCATTTTTCAATGAAATATAAAGGCAAGACTTTATAAGAATAACATTATTGGAAAATATGCTATGTGTTGTGGGTTTTTGAAAGTTTACTTTAAATCACAATAGTATTTTGAATGTTGATAAAAGAAAAAGCCTGCTGGGAGTTTATAAGAAAAACATAGGCCTCACTATACAGAAGACGACTATTCATTATAAACAATCATCCATCCATGTATTGGTATTCAATATATGTAATTCTTATTAAAAGAGAACATATAGTTAATGATGTGTTTGCTTTGACTATGTTCTCCAGTTCCCCACTCTGGTATGTAAATATAACGTTTTCTCTTTAGTCAAATTAATGTATAAAACAGTAGTAAAAAATAGTCGGAAACACCAAAGTAACTTTTAAAATATTGTACTTTATTTATTATTTTTCCACACGAACTTCAAATACTTTCACTAGCAAATGAGAGTTAGGTAATGATGAGGAATCCATCTTGATACTTTTAAAATCCCAGATTTATGATGATAAATGAGAAAAAAAATCATCCATCCAACTGTTAGTGACCCAGGGCTAGATTTATCAAACTAGAAACCAGCTTAAGTTCATCTTAAGTCCATTTTTTTGCTTAAGTCAAATTTATCACTATTGCCTTAACTTAAAAATTGCTTAAAATTAAAAAGTCGATTGTATGCATAAACCATCTAAGACGATTTTAAGCTAAGGTCTTGCTAAGATGGTTTGATAAATCAGCTTTAGATATTTGCTTAGGGACTTCTAAATTTGTTTTTGACTTAAGACATTTGCTAAGCTGGGATTGATAAATCTCGGGCCCAGGCACTGTCTCTCAGGGGCGGATCCAGGATTTGAAAGAGGGTGGTTCAAAATGGTAAATTTATGATTCCTAGGCCGGAAATGAGCTTTCCCGACTTCTGAAGAGTTTTTTTAATGACCTTTAAGTTCTTCAAAATTCAAGGTTTTTTCCTCTTGAAAAGATCAAGTAATCAAGATCAGTAATTCTTTCTCATTCTTCAGGCCTCTATATATAGAAAAAAAATCAAAGATATAGTGAATGGATTTCCCGCACGATTAAAAATCCTAACGGTACTAGGTTTGGTCTACAGGAGTTAGTGCTTCGAACAGGTCATTCCATTCATAAGAAAAAAAAAACCTCTTGATGGAGAAAGTGTACCTTTTTAGCAAGGTTTGCCTAGTTCGAAACTAACTCCGGCTATATAAAATTGATTAGAATATTTAAAAAGTTATTCTTGTTAATGAATAGATGAATTACTACTATGTCCATTTTTATTGATCTAGTCTACGTAAATTTACTTTCAGAGTTTATATTTCATTAATGAAAATTGTTTAGATATTTATTTGAAAAATATATTATATGAAATAATGTAATCGTTAAAGTTTAATAATATTTGATATTTGAATAAAGCAATAAGATTAAATGTTAAATACAGACACGCAATGCATACACAGGCTTATAGTACCAGAGTTCAGTTAAAATATGTAAATAATACTCGAAATGATATACTTATATATATTTATATAAACATTATGCGTAAATTTAGTATATTAAATTAAATTTAACGAAAAAACAGAAGAAACATAGGAAGGAAGAAAGAAAAAAAGGAAAGAAATTTTGAGCGGCTGAAAATATTTACCGAAAATAAACAATAATAATAATTTTGTCATTATTGCATCAAGTTTTTGTGAAAATTTGCTGGCACTAATCGTCAGAAGTCAAGGTACCGGCAGCCTACATGTTTCATTCGACATTGTGTTCGATGTCGAATATATGAAACATGTAGGCTGTCGGTAACTTGACCTCTGACGATTAGTGCCAACAAATTTTCACAAAATAATGACAAAATGATTATTATTATTTATTTTCGGTAAATATTTTCAACCGCTCCAAATTTCTTTCCTGCTCTTCTTTCTTCTTATGCTTCTGTTTTTTCGTTAAATTTAATTTAATAACTAAATACATATTTACGCATAATTTTTAGGCCTATATAAATATATAAATAAGTATATCATTTCGATACATATTTACATGTTTTAACTGGACTCTCAAGTAGGTCTGTGTATACATTGTGTCTGTATTTAACATAATTCAATCTTATTGCTTTATTAAAATATCAAATATTATGAAACGTTAACGATTACATTATTTCATATAATGTATTTTTTAAATGAATATCTAAAAAATTTCTTTAGCGAAATATAAACTCTTAAAGTAAATTTACGTAGATTAAATCAATAAAAATGGACATAGTAATCTTTATTATTAATCCTTCATTAGTAACAATAATAACTTTTTCAATCTTCTAATCAATTTTATGTAGCCGGATTTAGTTTCGACATAGGCCAACCTTGCTAAAAAGGCATACATTCTCCACCAAAAGGCTTTTCATATGAATGGAATGACCTGTTCAAAGCAGGGGCGGCTCTAGGATATAATGATGTGTATAAGAGACAGACGTTAGACCACCCAATATCGGTTTAGCGCCTATTTATTGCAGCCAGCTGACTTATAATATTTTAATATTTATAAATAATAATAATCAAATTAATAATATAATACTTGTGGGCTCGCTCAAATTTAATTTCTAAGAATAACAATCCAGATACAGTACTCTACTTACGGATCATTGAAATCGGTAAAGCCGGCCAAGGCTAAAAGTAATGACACTGGCTGTTCAATAATTGGTCTGCCTGCACTGATTCTGATAAAGTAATAATAATATGAGTGATCTTTGGCAAAGAAACCTTTAGTATGATCATTTTTTACTTGATTATGATCTCACTTGTTGTTTCTCTTTGCAAAATTCAAGGAAAAATATTAAAGGAAAAATATTTTGTTGTTATATTATCGTTTTTCCCAGAGAAATTAAATACCGGTACATGAACAACATAGATGTATACGTAAAATAATATAAAAGATTAACTAATGTTGAAGACATTCTGATAGACATATTTATTTAATTTTTGCTGGTCATCATATGTCATTTATTTCGCCAAAATAACAGGAACCAATTGAGGGTCTATATGGCAGGACTGATTGAAGAATGCTTGCCATCGAGGGGCTCTTTGACTATCGACAAAATTAAAGAACTGCTTAAAAATAGTAAATTATTACAGTATATATAATAAGAAATTGAATATAAAGTAGTGAAATCATATTTTTTTTAAATAAATATAGTTACACGTCAACTGCTAAAAATGTTAAATTAAATACTATACGAGGCCGCTAATTGTATTATACAATATTATACGCAGGAACACACATTGCGTTGGACAAAGAACGCATAC